AGGGGGAAAAGGGGAGGTGTCCTGAGGTCATGCCCATGTCACGAGTGTATGTCTGCCATTCTTCTCGCTCGGACATGAAGCTATAAAATTGTCTCTTTTGTTGACGGGATTATCAATTTATGTGTTAAATGGTCATGGGGTCTGGGCAAGTCTGTCGCTGGAACATTTCCAGATACCATGTTCTTTGTTCTGTTGTTTATTAGCTGGTTTATTTATGCTGAAGCCGGTCAACGTTACACTGCACATCTGGTCCCTGAAAGCCAGTAAAACAAAGATAGTTTGTATCCTAGTTTGAGTTAGGGTTTAAGCAGTTCAGATCCCCCTAAGGGATAAGGACCAGGCCTTGACCGGAAGCAGGTCCAGACAATTAGGTGCCCTGTTGATCATTGATCTTCTTTACGACCGTAGATAGCTGGGGAGGAGAGTCCTTAGTTTTTCCGGTGGAATGCGAAGATTCAATCGTTCATTTGTGTGATATTCGCAGAGGCCTTACAGGTATGACGCAACACAATCAACCGCAAATAGCAGCACAATGGATTTGAGTGAGTTTCATGCAGTATCTGATTTTGAACTTCAAAAAAAGTTCCTGTTTTGTTTCAGATGTAAACCCCACAGGGACCCTAAACTACAGTAGTTGCAGAAGCTAGGAAAATTTCCAGTGGTGGAAAAGGAGAAAAAAAAATCTGATTAATATGGAAAAGATGTCTCTTATCACTTGTCACGTTAATGAGACACGTCTGGTTAGATGTGTGGGGAACTGAAAATGTGATTTTGTGTTTCTTCAGCGAACACACATGAATTCACTAATGGCCGAACATACAGTCACCATACGGATGAAACCAGAAGAGCGAGAGCAGAGGAGAGGGGAGATGTATGTATTTTTTTTCTTGCTCAATCTTCATGAAAATGCTGTCCTCAAATTTCGTCTGAGCGAATAGCGAGTATTGCCAAGAGTGCTGATATTTTTTGTGTGTCTGTATTCACAGAAATCAAAACTATTTGTTTATTTCTGAATAGAGCTTGGTGTGAAGAGTTGTCTGTGTTTTCTCACACTCCACAGAGGGTTACCTCTCACTAGTGAGGAAATGGGAAAACCTGGGAAAATTTTCGGATCTGTGTATTGCTCGTGACATGCAAACCTAATAAAAGCGTCAGCTTTGACAATATTCTTGTTGCTGTAAAGGAAAAATATGAACTGGCCAATTCATGTCAGAATGTAAGTTACTTAGTAGTAATTACTTATTTTTAGAACGATTACATAAAAACAATATCACACTCGAATATTGAATATCGGCACAGCTGTGAAGACCTGCAGCACAAAGTCATTCTAATATTCAGTATTGCTTGTGTGTGTGAGTGTGAGATATAAACACGTTATATAGCTGAGTGCTTTTGTTCCCAAATATCAGCACAACTGTGATTTGGACATAGACTTGAAGCCACAGACAATCACAAACCATGCTGATATTCGGGGGGAAAAATTGCACAATTGTGAATCTGATATCGTAAATGTGATACAATTCAATCGACAACAAATTATCATTAAGAAATGTACCTTTTAGACACAGTTTTGCCAAAGCCACAGCAGAATTAACACAGTTGGTTGTGTTTTGTTCCTGAATGCGTCATATTTGATATATAAATAGTCCCTTGTTTTGTTCAGAATAATATTTTTGAACAAATTTGTTCAAATGTTTTTAATGACTTAATTACAATCACTTACCTACAAAAAGAACTACAGAAAAATCCCCACTACCAATGCACAGACTGACATTCTGTCTGGAACACTCAAATACAGACAAGCAGAGTGATACAATCAGTAAAAAAGTCCCAGTGCTGTTGGACTGGTACTGTAAATCAGCACTCTTGTATCAGCACTCTTGGAATGCTGCTTAACCAATCAGATTTGAGGACCATGACTAACTTTAATTACAGATTAAGTGCGTTTCACACTTAAAATAGTAAACACTGGGTCATTCTAAACCCCGGGTAAGGAATCCTGGGTTATCTTGTTTCACGTTTCACACTGCTCATAAATTACTTGGAGTTAACAATTAATCCTGGGTATTTATAAGCGGTCATTTCACACTGTACATTTCTAAACCCCGGGTTAACATTTTTCATATATACATTTTTGTGGTGTCAGTATTATTGATTAGACAAACACAGCACTAAACCTGTTTATGTAATGGCTCTTGCATTGCGTATTATTAAATTATACATTTCAGACTGTACTATCACAAATTTTTCTGAATGGACTTTTGACACATTTCCCCTCAAACGTTTCACGCTGTACATGTGTGGCACTTCAATGTAGGGTTAACACCGCAAAAGAGGTGCTAACTGTGCTCCAGAGCAGGGTTTCAAAACCCTGGGTAAAAAGCAGTGCTAAAACCACTTCTAAATTATAAGTCTGAAATGTACCTTTACTCGAGGTTGAAAGCAAGGTTTATACTGACAGTTATCTGGGTTTAAGTGCAGTGCGAAAAGCCCTTTAAAATCATTAACCCCATTCTAAAACCTGGGTTAACAGAATCCTGGGTTGTCTTCTACTATGTTTGACGCTGTTCAATCTTCCTGAATGGACTTTTTGAACTATAAAGCAAAAAGAAAAAAAAAATTCACACAATTGAATATGTTTTCAATTGACACATTTTCCACCACCATTTGAGAGTTTTTCTCCTTTAGCATTTGTTACTAATGTAACCTCGGTTCCCTGAGATACAGGAACAAGTACTCCGTCGCTAAGATGCTATGGGGAAAACTCCTTTTTTCTCCGATTACTGAAGCCTTTTTGAATAACGCAGTGTAACTGCATGGCCATTGGTTCGTGCAGTGAATAAAAAACGAACCAATGGCTCGGCAGCGGAGCTGTCGCCATGAAACCCGCCAGAGCCAGCCAGAATCGGCGGGGACATCTGGCTATATAAGTGGACATTCTGACATAGGATCTTCAGGTTAATTCGACTGAAGTGACTACACTGAGTTGTGCAGCTACATAGCATGGCTAGCAACGCAGTACTCATTCCCGTATCTCAGAGAACTGAGGTTAGGTTAGTAACAGAGTGCGTTTCCTTTTCGATACTTCACTCCTACTGCGTCGCTATAGGGAACCAGTACAATTACGCCGTGCTATGGTAGAGGAGCGACTCATATGTGATCTTTCCTTAAGCACCCAAGGGGCTCAGAGGGACAAGTATATAATAGGGTAAGCCCTTCATGTGGCAACGGGCTAAACTCAGAGGTCACACCCGGCTTGGGCAATCGTTCCAAGAAAAATTCTTACAGCCTCAGCACTTAGGGAGGTCAGAGAGCATACAAGAAGTAAAGCAATTCTGGCGAGTTTGAGCATGTTATGGCCAAACCCTACTCAGAGCTAGTCCCGCCTTCTGGCAGGTGCATGCCAACTATGCAGAAAAGAACCTAGCCTGTAAGGCAGGGATGTCCAGGTTGTAAAACCTAATAAATGTGGACGGCGAGGCCCAGCCGGCCGCCGTACAGATTTCTGCAATAAACACACCGCTAGACCAAGCCCAAGAAAGGGCAACGCCTCTGGTGGAGTGGGCTCGTATTCCAATGGGGCATTGCAGGCCCAAGGAGGAGTATGTTAGCGTATTAGCGTCAACTGTCCACCAGGAAAGTCTCTGCTTCGTGACCAGATGGCCTTTGGTGCGGCCTCCAAAGCAAACAGAGTTGTTCTGGCTGCCTCAATGTAAATTCTCCGTGCCCACTGGGGCAGAGTAGATCCAACTCCTGGTCCTCCTCCGAGGGAGGAAGTGCAGAGAGTGCAATGACCTGTGCTCTGAACGGAGTGGAGAGCACTTTAGGTACATAACCATGCCTTGGCTTCAGGACGTCCTTAGAGACACTGGGCCCGAACTCAAGACAGGTAGGGCTTACAGAGAGCGCCTAGGCAGTCGTGGCCTAAAGGTTAGAGAGTCGGACTTGTAACCCGAAGGTTGCAGGTTTGAGTCTCATGTCCGGCAGGAATTGTCGGTGGGAGGAGTGAATGTACAGCGCTGTCTTCCACCTTCAATACCACGACTGAGGTGAGATCCTTGAGCAAGGCACCGAACCCCCAACTGCTCACCGGGCGCCCGCAGCAATATGGCTGATCACTGCTCCAGGTGTGTTCACGGTGTGTGTACGTTCACTACTGTGTGTGTGCACTTGGATGGGTTAAATGCAGAGCACAAATTCCGAGTATGGGTCACCATACTTGGCCACACGTCACTTCACTTTCACTGCAAGTCTTCCATTTGCTTGACCGATGCTAATTCTAGTAGCAGAGCGGTTTTCAGCGACAGGAGCCGAAGGTCGGTCGACATGCATAGTAAAGGGTAAAGGGTAACGATAAAGGGGCGAGGCTGGTTCAGCCTCCTGGACCCCTTCGAAAAGCGGACAACGTAAGTTTTTCCTGCCCACCGACTGGCCAGCTATAGGTGAGTGAGAAGCTGCTATAGCTGCTACATAGACCTTGAGAGTGGATGGGAAACAACACTTATCCAGCAACTCTTGGAGGAAGGACATCAACGATATGTCACAGGAGGTTGAGAGCACCAGGCGAAGAAGACCGACCATTTAAGGGTGTAGAGACGTCTCGTAGACGGGGCCCTAGCCTGAGAAATTCTATTTAGAATGCTCTTGGGGAGGTCCGCAGGCTCCCATCGAGAGGCCAAAGGTGCAGAGCCCACAGCTCAGGTGCCATAACGTTCTGTTCGCCTGAGAGAGGACGTCCCGTCTCAGGGGAATGGGCCATGGGGCTGCAGTGAGCAGCCGAGACAGCTCCTTGAACCAATGTTGGTTCCTCCAGAGCGGGGCCACTAGGAGAACCTTGTATTCTTGCTCCCTGATTCGCCTGATTACCTGAGCGATCAGGGGAAAAGCGTAAAGGAGGAGGTTTGGCCAGTTGTGGGTCAAAGCATCCTTGTCCTCCAAAAAATACGTTGGGCAATGAGAGTTGTCTTTTGAGGTGAAGAGGTCGACCTCTGCCTTCCCAAAGATCTCCCAGATTTTCTGAACCGTTCGTGGGTGGGGCATCCACTCCTCTGAGGGGACGTTGCTCCGGGACAGCATGTCTGCTCCTTGGTTTAACAAGTTGAGCTGTGCCCATTCCAAGGGGTGCCCCACCAGAATGAAGTGGCACTTTGAGGAGAGCCCTCTAAGACGAGCCAGTAGTCGAGGTAATTTAGAATGCGAATTCCCATCTGTCTCAGAGGGGAAGGAGCCGCATCCATGCACTTCGTAAAAGTGCGAGGAGCCAGGGACAGTCCGAAGGGAAGGACCGTGTATTGATATGCCACTCCCTCAAAGGCGAATCTCAAGAATTGCCTGTGATGGGGGGCTATCTGGATGTGAAAGTAGGCGTCTTTCAGATCCAGAGAAAAGAACCAGTCCCCTGGGCATATTTGTGAGAGGATCTTTTTCAATGTAGTCATCCTAAATGGAGGTTTCATGATGGCACGGTTCAGGTGCCTGAGATCCTTTTTGGGGATGAGGAAGTAACGGCTGTAAAAGCTCTGACTCGCTCTGGGTTGGAGGAACCGTCTCAACGGAACCTTTTGCCAGTAAATTCATCACCTTGGAGTGCAGGACGTACGCATCTTTGCTCTGTACCGAGGTGGTAACCATGCCCCTGATTCGCGGGGGTCTTCGTGCAAATTGAAATGAGTAACTTCATAAGGGTTTTATTTTGCCCGCTATCACAGCGGAGAGGTCTGTGGGTGCTTGAACGGGCCCAGCATTCACAACAAACACATTGACCTCGGCACCGGAACTGAACGGGGTGCTTGGAGGAATACTCAGGCTGCTTGAGGGGTGGTCCGGCTGCAGCGAGACTTTGCCCTTTCCTCTTCCTGTCCTTAAGATCAGGATGACGCCTGAGGCACAGGATCCAGCGCTATCTTGGGCCTGGAGCCCTGACGCTTAGGCAGATGAAGTCGAAGCATGCAGGCGGGCTGAGTAGGAGGCGCGCCATGATCTGGTGAGTTCGTCGTGGACCTCCAGGAAAAACGGAGAGGCTCGCTGACGAGGGGCTTGTCGGTGCCCCGGCAGGAACCATTCATCCAGGCGGCTGCGAGTGGGCACTTCTGACGCGGAAAAGTACGGCATCTATTCAGGGCCTGGCGTCGCTGGGCTTGGACAACAGCAAGGGGGTGGGGCCATTAACTGAGCCCGACAGCTCCTCTGCATCCGAGGCTGCTAATGACATGTTGTCATTGAGTAGCTCGTCGTCACTCCCACCGAACGAGACCAGATCGCTCGCGCTGGCGGAGCGGACGGGGGAAGCCTCTCTGTGCGGAGAGAGCGAGGCATGTGGGACTTGAGCCGGCGTGAGCTCGCTCGTCTCAGAGCGCTGAGATCCTCTGCCCCACAGTTTTTTCCTCACAGGTCCCTGGGAGGAAGAAACCGGGAGGACGCGAGGGGCGGAGTCACTCTCTGAAAAGAGAGCTATCCGCGAGCGCAGACTGGCGAGACTCGTGTTCTTGCAGTGAGAACAATTCGTCTCCATGAGGGCGGCTTCCACGTGGGAAATCCCCAAGCAGGAAGCTCACTCACCGTGACTGTCATCAGCGTGCAGGGGAGACAAGCTGCTATAACGGTGCGGCATTTGAAACAACGCCGTGAAAATTTGCTATTTTATGCTCACCGGATGGCGGCAGGGGAAAAACCGTGACCGCTGCTGCTACGACGCTAAAGGCAGCGGGAAGAAGCGACGAATCTGCTGAGCAGAGAGGTCGCTGGCCGGCTTGTTCCGCTGCAAGGCGTGTCTACGACGAGAAGGCTTCAAGTCTCGTAGATCAGCGAAGAACGTCATCGTCACTGAAGGAGAAGAAATCTGAGGATCCTATGCCAGAATGCCCACTTATATAGCCAGATGACCCCACCCATTCTGGCGGGCTTCATGGCCATAGGCTCGTGCAGCTCCATTGCTGAGCCATTGGTTCATTTTTTTTATGGCCGTGGAGTTACACTGTGTTATTAAAAAAGGCTTTCTCCATAGCGTCTTAGCGACGCAGTACGAGTTAAGTATTGAAAGGGAATGATTGTTTATACAAAATACAGGGTTTTTGTGACTAGTGACATGTCAATATGAGGCACCCACTCTTCAGTTTCTGATTGAGTGTCTATTGGTAAGCATCTAGCCACATTGTTTCACACTGCACATGTTTGTCAGTAGGGTTTCATAACCCTTGTTAAAAGTGTTGCTAACAACCATTCTAAATTACAAGTGTGAAACATTTCTCTACCTGGGGTTAAAAGCAGGGTTTAGAACAACAATAACTTGGTGTTAAGGGTTGTGTGAAAAGCCCTACTTACTGTAGAATAATTTCATTATTCTTACTGAAAGCTATTTATCATGCTAGGCTTTGTTTGAGTTGTTTGATAAAAGGGCTTAGGTATCAATACACATTTCCCAATTCAATACAATTCCATTTCAAAGGTTTTCGTATATATTTCAGTGTCCAATTTGACTACAGATGAAGAAATTCTCTTTCTGCTTACACTGTAAATATCCTAGGGCAGTGTTTAAGACCGATTCAAACCAGTAACTCTTATTAATATTCTTTAAATAAGCAACTTACAAAAGTCATTTGTTCAAGAAATTGAATTATACGGTTGCATTGTGTTTAGTTTTGTGTATAAAATAAACAGAGTTTTTATCATGTCACTGAAGATTTAGTGCTGCTTAGAAACTGCAGAAAAATGATAAACAGAACCTTCTAACATTATGAAAGCATTAAAAAAATTAACAGCAGGGCCTATCCACAAGTGAGTTAGCTCAGCAGTATGAAGTGATATCTGCAGGACATAGTGTTGTTGAAAAATATTTTCACGCAGCCACTGATAATAGCCATAAATTAAAATATTGACCATGGGATTTTAAGATTCGGTGTTAGGATTGTTTAAATAAAGATCACAATTTAACTGAAAATCTGTATTTTTACACAGTCCTGTATGAATGTTTCATTATGTTATTCTTGTTTTAAAGTGACATGTATAATGACTGATGCTGGTGTCTGTTCTTTAGGGTGGGTTCTCCATGTTTATTCAGCTGATGCCAATCGTTGTGCTGGTCTTGGTCTCAATCTTCAGCCAGCTTCTGGTGTCCACACCACCTTATAGCCTGTACTCCAGACCGTATGTCATAATACTTTATAATACATGCCTCACACTACCTTAAGCCCAGTTCAGACTACACTATTTTTTTGCCAGATTACACGATTTTGACTCCTAAAATCTTGTCGTGTCGTGAACAAGAAACATATCAGACTACACGTTTCTACCCAAACATTCTTCGTTTGCCGTCTTTAACGACGTGCGTGCTTGTCATCGATAGTGCGGGACTAGACAGATGGTGAAATGAGTGTAAACAAACAATGGCTAGCAAACAGCGTCTTGTCGTCAGAAAAGCCCAAAAAGAAAGAAAACCTGACAGGGACACAAATCTGGATTGCATGAAGAGGACTCTAAAATAGAACTGAGGTTAAATAGTTTTTTTACTATATCACTATTTACTATATAAACATCATAAATGCAGGAGTATTGTAGCCATAGCTCCACGAACATTTCCTCCATTGTAAAATTACACCTAGCAGGACCGATACCGTTGTCTCTCTTTCATTTCGGCATGTTTGAAAGCATGTACGAAGGCACTTCTCTGCTCCTAGTGGCCTGTGTCTGTGACGGAACTCGTTTTGGACGACGGAAAAAAATTTAACATGCTAGACTTTCTGTGTTGACGTCATGAAGCATCACAGACATGGCATCGGTTGTTGTGCACTATGACACACTACACGAGATGAAACGATTGAATCTTGCGTCCCGATGCCCATTGTCGTATATGAATCCCCACGACACCCTACGTCAAGCAAATCGTGCCAAAATCGGGCTAAAATTGTGTAGTCTGAACGGGGCTTTACAGTTTACACTTTAGATAATGTGTAATAATGCCTTATGTTATATGCCTAACAACTTGCATGAATTTCACATGATTATCACAAATAACTTATAATGTAAGTCATTACAGTTTATGGCCTCCACCTGCCTGTATTATGCACTCCTGACAACGTCTAGACATGCTCCTGACAAGATGGCAGATGTTGTCCTTGGGATCTCCTGTCAGACCTGGATTAGGGCATCAGTGAGACCCTGGACAGTCTGTGGTGCTACTTGGCGGCTTCAGATGCTCCGATACATAACGTCCCAAAAGTTCTCAATTGGATTCAGGTTTGGGGAATGTGAGGGCCAGTCAATGGCATTAATGACTTTATCATCCAGAAACTGCCTACACACTCTGGCCACATGAGGCCGGGGATTGTCATGCACAAGGAGAAATTCAGGGCCCGCTGCACCAGCGCAAGTTCTGACAGTGGCTCTCTGAGGATTTTATCCCGGTGCCTGACAGCAGTAAGGGTACTGTTGGCTAGCATGTGGTGGTCTGTGTGACCCTCCAAGGATATTTCTCCACAGACCATCAGTAACCCACTGCCAAACCGGTCATGCTGGATGATGTTGCAGGCAGCTTAAACGTTCCTCATGGCATCTCGAGACTGTTTCACATCTGTCACATGCTCAGTCTGAACCTGCTCACATCTGTGAAGAGAATGGGGCACCAATATCAGACCTGCCAATTCAGGTGTTCTCTGGCAATGGCAATTGAGCTGCACAGTCCTGTGGCTGTGAGCACAGGTCACACTAGAGCAGGTTTCGTAAACAGGGATTTTTCATGGAGAAATTTCAGAAGGTTTGTGAGTTGATGAACAGCTATTAATTAATTATAATTAAATCATACATTTAAATAAAAAATTTTAAAAAATCTAATGTTAAAAAGTGTAATTAAAAATGTTTATAAGCGCAGCACTGTTTCTGCTGTTCCTTAAGTACCACCTAACCAGCTCATTTTAACAATACTATAACAATAACTGATCATTTTGGTCACTATAATCATGATATGAAATTTTCATGCAGCTTTATCTCTAATAACAATAGCTATGTAAAAATAATTCTGATAAAAACTTTAAAACGGATTAAAAAATGGGGATACACTTTATTTTAAGGTCCAAAGGTGGTGGGGGGGCCTTGTTCTAAAAGAACAAAAAAACTAGAGGATGTCGGGCCCCTATGCCACCCTCTTGGAGTCTGTTTCTGACAGTTTGGTCAAAAACATGCACACCAGTAGCCTGCTGGTGGTCATTTTGAAGGGCTCTGGCAGAGCTCCACCTGTTCCTCCTCACACAAAGTCCTGCTGCTGGTTTGTTGCCCTTTTATGGCCCGTCTCCCGATATCTCCTCTATGCTCTTGAAACTGCCAGGAGACACAACAAACCTCCTTGCAACGGCACATATGGATGCTCCATCCTAGAGAAGCTGGACTACCTGTGCAGCCTGATTAGGTTGCAGGTACTGCCTCATGCTACAAGTAGGGACAAGGACCCTAACAAAACACAAAACTAGAGACAAATCAGGATAAGGAAAGAGCTATTGCCTGTGGCCTGCAAAACCATTCCCTTTTTGGGTGTTGTCTGGCTGTAGCCTCTCCAGTACACCTGTTGTCACTTTCATTTGCACCAAAGCAGGAGAAACTGATACACAATCAGTTATGCTTTCTAACAGAATCATATCCCTGAAGTTTAACTGACTTTGTGTTATACCGTGCTGATTAAGTGTTCCTTTAATTTAATTTTTTTTAGCAGTATATATATATATATATATATATGTATGTACAATTGTTCTCATAAGTTTACATAAGAAGAATATGCATATTCTTCCCTTTGAAGAATATGCAAAATGTTAAAAATTTTCACAAAATAAGAGGGATCATGAAAATCCCTTTAGTACGTTTTTATTTAGTACTGTCTTGAATAAGCTATTTCACATAACGGATGTTAATATATACTCCACAAGACAAAATAATACTTGAATTTATAAAAATGACCCCGTACAAAAGTTTACATACCCTTGAATATTAATACCGTGTGTCATTTCCTGGATGATCCACGACTGTTTTTGTGTTAGTTGGAAAACCAAACAATGTGCAGGAGCAGGAGAATTTTTCAGAAGAACAGCTTAGCTGTTCAGTTTAAACAGTTTAACTGTTCAGGACAAACAAGGGACTCATGAACAACTAACACAAAACATAAAAACAGACGTGGATCATCCAGGAAATGACACACAGTATTAAGATTTAACTTTTGAACGGGGATATTGAACGGGGATATTTTTACAAATTCAGTTATTATTTTGTCTTGTTGAGTATATATAAAAATATGTTATGTAAAATAGCTTATTCAAGACAGTACTATTAAATTAAAATATTAAATTAAAAATAACATGCAATTTTAATGATCCCTCTTATTTTTGAACATTTTGCATATTCTGCAAGGGGTATGTAAACTTATGTGCACAACTGTATATATATGTATGTGTGTGTGTGTGTGTGTGTTTGTGTGATCTTTAATATTATTATCTTTTGGCCCCTAATAATAATAATCCTAACAAATACAAAAGGGAACCATTGGACCCTTTATAATAATACTAAATAAGAAAATCTGAACAATTGTAATAGGATTTCAACAGTGGGGCTTGGCCCACAAATAATATATTAAAAGAAAATCTGACTAATATAATAGGGTTCTAGAGCTTTTAAATTCCAGAGTGTTTTTTTCATACTGTGTGTTAAAACTGTGTAATAGATGTAATCTCTGCTCCTTCACATCCAGGTCCACAGGACAGACTGTTAAAAGACAAACCGAGAACCTGCATGTGGACTATTTTGTCACCAGAGATTTCAAATCAGAATATAAGGGCTCAGCTTTGCTAAAGATTGAGAAGAGTGTAGAAGAGGATTATGTTTCTAATGTGCGAAACAACTGCTGGAGGGAAAGACAGACAAGTATGTGCCATTATTTCATCTTTATCTTAACCATCTTATTGTTCTATTAGGGGTTTATTTACACACATTAACAGGTGGATATGCTTGAGTATGCTCTGAGGTCCTAATGAAAGTTATTTTAAAACCATGTTTCATATAAACTCAGCAAAAAAAATAAAAAAAATGGCATGCTGTATATTAGCTTCTGGGCCAAATCCAGACTGATGGCGATCCATTCTTGCTTTATTAGTTCTCGGAGTTGATCACAATTTGTGGGCTTCTGCTTGTCCACTCGCCTTTTGAGGACTGACCACATTGGATTGAAATCCGGGGAGTTGCCTGGCCACAGCTCCAACATTTCAGTGTAATGATCTTCGAGCCACTTCTTTATCACTCTTGCTTTGTGACATGGTGCTCCATCATGCTGGAAAATGCACGGATCATCACCAAATTGCTCATGGATCATTGGAAGAAGTCGCTCTTGCAGGACGTTTTGATACCATTCTTTGTTCATGGCAGTGTTTTTGGGCAGAATTATGAGAGAGCCCACTCCCTTGCTTGAAAAGTAACCCCACACATGGATGGTCTCAGGATGCTTCAATGTTGGCACAACACAGGACTCATGGTAGCGTTCACCTTTTCTTCTCCGAACAATCGATTTTCCAGATGTCCCAAACAGTCGGAAGGGAGCTTCATCAGAGAAACTTGTACTTCCTGCAGAATTTCAGTCTTCCCTTTTTCTTGGAGAGAAGTGGCTTCTTTGCTGACCTTCTTGACACCAGTTCGTTGTCCAAAAGTCTTCGCCTCACTCTGCGTGCAGATGCTCTCACACCAACCTGCTGCCATTCCTGAGCAAGCTCTGCACTGGTGGTGACACGATTCCGTAGCTGACTCCTCAGGAGGAGACGGTCCTGGCGCTTGCTGGACATTCTGGGACGTCCAGAAGACTTCTTCACTGCAGTCGAACCTCTGTCCTTAAAGTTCTTGATGATCCGGTAAATGGTTCTTTCAGGTGCAATATTCTTTGTAGCAATTTCCTTGCATGTGAGACCATTTTGATGCAAAGCAATGATGGCTGCATGTGTTTCTTTAGAGGTAACCATTGCTAACAAGAACACAAGTAGTTCTCCGTCGCTACGACGGATTTCCGTTAATTGCATCGAGTCTACGATGGATTTCCATCAACTGGAAAATATGAGGGGAAAAGAAACATGTAGCGCATTGTTGTTGTTGTTCTGCCTGCACACCAAAAATCATCCCCGGCACTGCTGCAGCTTCTCAGTGACATCATATGCCGCTCGCATCATTTACAGTCTGGTTATTAGCAGAGAACACAGAGCAGGACTTGAATTTCGGCGTGGGATTGCGACTATTAATAATAATTCTACTCATTCCCGCAGGTTCCGCGCTTATAACGCGATGACAGATGACCGAACGTATCATTTGCACGTGCTTTTGAGTCTTGAGAACTCACTCACGCGCTCTCATTTTCTGTGTGCCCACAGATCGCGATAAGGACAGTGACAGCTTTTAATAGTTATTAAGGGAGTTTGCAAATGTGATATTGATTTAATACAACAGTTCAATAAACAAGTACTGCCTGATGTGTGCTCATTTTCTGTGTGCCCACAGATCGCGATAAGGACAGTGACAGCTTTTAATAGTTATTAAGGGAGTTTGCAAATGTGATATTGATTTAATACAACAGTTCAATAAACAAGTACTGCCTGATTTTGCTCTATTTCTTCAACGAAAATAGTTCCAAATATAGTAAAAGCTCAGCCGCTTCGCATCTCTAAAAGGAAACACAGCCGAGTTTCATTCATTCAATGAAAGTGCATTTTTGATCGAATCTAGTGAGTCAGTGACTCATGATTACCCATTCATAAAGACAGTCACTTGCTTCATTTCTGAAAGAATCAGCCATTCGAACGAATCAATTGAATTAATGATTCAGTAATGAAATCAGTGACTTGCCGCCACCTGCTGGCGGATTTAGTTTCATTTTTAGCTTATAATTTCAATTATTTAAATCATTTAATATTTCTGTATTCAAAATTTTATATTTAAAACATTCATCTCCACATGAATGTATGAATTGAATTGCACTCATGCTACCTCTGAGCCTCATTAAACGTCTGAAAATGTACCTACAAGCCACTTTTGTGTTCTTCTGTGCACCCTCTGTAGTACAAATTAATTTTTTATTAATACTAATTTCATATGATTGGTAACTTATTGTCTGAAAATGTACCTACAAGCCACTTTTGTGTTCTTCTGTGCCACCTCTGTAGTACAAATTAATTTTTCATTAATACTAATTTCATGATTTGTAACTTATTTGTCTTATTCTACTTCTTATTATATTGCTTTAAATAGAAATTTTAAAAAGCTTATAAACATACATTTTTGAATTTGACATAGATGAAAATAATGCCATTACAAAGGTAAAAGGAAAATACTACTGTAAGTCACTTTAAAGAGTCAAATGTCACCTCGTATTAGGAAGGATCATTTTTGATCAGAATTTTTGATTATTGATCAGAAGGTGCTCCTACATTTTTTAAATGAGGTAAGCATTTAAAGAAAAGTAAGCATAGAGCCATGTGTAACAGTATATTAGATCCATGTATGAGGTCTTAAAGAGACAGCAGCCTAAATAAATAAAGACTACCCAGTGTTATTTTACAGTTGAATAGATTATAGTTAGACCTAACTGAAAAAATTAAAGTACTGTTAATTTAATTTGTATCTTGTTATTGTTTTTGTTTGTGCTATCTATTTACTTGTCTTTTTTAGTTAAAATAAATTCAATTCTGAGTGCACGTGATTCTTGGGTGGGGAGGGGGCATGGTCCATGAGAAATAGTCCTGCCACCACAGCTGGATAAAATCCTAGAGTAAATACTGCATACATTTAATACAATTTAAAAAATGCCATTACAATGGTAAAAAGAAAATGCCCCTGTAAATCACTTTGAGTCAAATGTCACCTCATATTAGGAAGGCTAATTTTTTATCAGAATTTTTTATTATTGATCAGAAAAGTTAAAAAGAAGAGCATTTATTTAAAATAGAAATCTTTTCTAACAATATACACTACAGTTCAAAAGTTTGGAGTCAGTAAATTTTTATTCTTTTTTTTTTTTAAGAAATTAAAACTTTTATTCATCAAGGATGTTAAATTGTTAAAGGGGTCATATGACGTTGCTAAAAAGAACATTTATTTTGTGTATTTGGTGTAATGCAATGTGTTTATGCAGTTTAAGGTTCAAAAAGCACATTATTTTCCACATACTGTACATTATTGTTTCTCCTCTATGCCCCGCCTTTCTGAAACGCGTCGATTTTTACAAAGCTCATCGGTCTGAAAAGCGAGGTGTGCTCTGATTGGCCAGCTATCCAGTGCGTTGTGATTGGCTGAATACCTCAAGCGTGTGACGGAAATGTTACGGCCCTTACCATACTGTGATGCCGTATCCCGGCCGGAGCGACGAGACAAAAACATTAAAACCCATTATAAATGAGGCATTTGTTGCATCCAGTGGGGACATAATTACGGATTGTAATGACTTGTACTGTCTTTTTACGTGTTGCGTTACGTATCGCGCCGTGTAAACATAAAACCATGTCTGCATTTGTAATCGGAGAAACGACAAACAACAAGTGCTACTCTACACTGCTCAAAACTCGCGTTTGAATTGTCAGTGGCAAATTCTTTAAATATGAAAACGTACTTACAGGCTGTGAGTCAGAAGCGCCAGACTATCCTTGCAAAGTTGTAATTGCCCCATTTTATAGAAACAGCCTTTGTGCACAACCTTCCCAGGATCAAGAAACAGTCATCCGTAAAATGCGCTGCACACATATGAATGTTTGGGTTGAACTGTTCTGGAACAGTGTTGTAAATACAAATTTCTAGTCGTGTCCTCTTTTGGAAGGCCAAACAAAGTAGTTTCGCTTTCACAATGGAACACACAGCATCTTCATGACATGGCGGCGGCAGCAGCATCAATACTACGGTGAGAATCAAAGTTAGGCCTTCTTTCTTTGCGTGAAAATTTGGGCGGTGTTATGCAAATCTTCCCACAC